TTCTTTAGAGCGCCGGCGGGCGACGGCATCCCTGCCAAGAACCATGATGATGAGGATGAGGAGCGGGTCAGCGGCAGCGAGTTCTTATCTTACAGTTTTAATTAGGAGGTGGGAGGAGGTGGGAGGAGCAGGGGGAGGGGTTTGGTTTGGGCGGGGTTTGGACAGTAAGGAGGGAGGGGGCCGACAGGTTGAGGGGCTGCAGGGGGCCACAAACAACTTTAGTTTGGGTGTGCTTCATTTTAAATACAAAATATATTCAAATTAATTTAATTCCAATTTTATAATAATAAAACATTAAAAATAAAATATTAAAAATGTAACAATATAAAAAAATATACTCATAAATAAAATATATAATTTACAATAAACTACAGACAAAAACCTTTGTAATAAAATAATACAAATTTATCAATATTTCTTTTTTACGGAAGCTCTGACAGAAAATGAAATTTAGAAAAAATAAAAACAGAATTTTATTTTAACCTGTTTTCACACGTGGGAAAAATCTTTTTCAAAGATTAATAAAAAGAAAATAGAAAAATTAAAAGAAAGTTTCACTTTCCATTCAGGGCTTCCGTAGATTGTTATGATTAAAAAAGAAAAGAATTTTAAATTTCTTTTTCAGCACAAACTAAAACACCTGGGGCCTCATGTACTAACGTTGCGTACGCACAAAAATCGTGCATACGCCATTTTTCACGTTCACGTTCGGATGTACTAAAAGTGAAATGAATGTGAGAATGTGCGGTCCTCCACAAGAGCTTCATTGCCGGCGTACGTACATATTTTTTGCTTATGTCAGTTGTCAGTTGGCGACACTCACAGGCGGTGCATTTAAATTGCATAGCCGAAATTAACAATTGCTCTCGGGACAGTTGCACTGTATGCGAAAGTCATTATTATTTATCAATCAAGCAGTTACACAATTTTAAATCATTTGCAGATTATTTGTGTTAAGGGGTTATTTACTGCAGCGCGCAGTCCTCTACTGCGTATGGAGGATAACACTCGAATTATCTTTAAGCTCTTGGCATATTTATTTAACAGTTAACAATGAAGTGCGGACCGATGTGCCGCCGTCTCATCAATTTCAATTCAATTCAATTCAATTCAATTTTATTTGTATAGCTCCAATTCATAACAGAAGTTATCTCAGGACACTTTTCAAATAGAGCAGGTCTAGACCGAACTCTTTAAAACATCATCAGCACACTGAACAACAACTAGTGCTCACTGGGACCGTGGTGATGTCCCGTCTTGTACGTACCGTAACCCTTTCACAATACAGCAGTACAGTATATCAGTCTACTGTAATACAGGGACTCCACCACCTGTGGGCTGAAGGCTCTGGCGATGGGCAGATATGTCGTCATATCTGACCACTTTTTTTCAACTCCGCTGCGGTGCGGTTCTCCGACCCTACCGGGTTTACTGCCTGTGCCACGCAAAATAAAAACATTTTTGGGCTCTACCTCCGTCAGCAGCACCTCCAGTTCACACTCTCTTTCTTTTTTTCCTTGCTTTTGCCATTTTCCTAAAGACAGCACTATCGAGGCCTATTTATACTAATTAGCATATTCAAATCGGTGTATTTGAGGGAGGGGACAGGGTGGAGCGCTGTGCTCGTGAATGTGCGCTCAATTTCACGTTGATTGCGATGTACAAAGACAATGTGCGTGGGATTCTGCGTACGCACGTTTTGATACATCTGAATCTTTTTTGTGTACGGAACTTTCACTCTTTCAGTGTACGCCACATTCTAGTAGGAAATCCACGCAAGTCTTAGTACATGAGGCCCCAGGACGTGTGGTGCACCTGAAGGGGGCGGGGCTTATAGTGAGGGGCGGAGGTGGAGTCTGTGTATTTATTTAAATTAATTTTAATAAAAAATGACCAGAATACCAATTTTTTAAAAATAAATAAATAAATACGATATTAAAATTAAAAAAAAAAGAAAAGTAAAGAAATATTTTTTTTCTGCAATAAAATTTAAACCAGAAGAAAAATCATATTTAATAAATTTGAAATAAAATAATAATATTCTAATGATATAAATGATTTATGATACAATGAATTTGTTATTGTCGAGCACAAACTGCTTTATATGGAAACCACCTGGACCAATCACCTGAAGGGGGCGGGGCTTATAGTGAGGGACAGAGGTGCAGCAGGAGGAGGAGTGTGTGTGTGTGTGTGTGTGTGTGTGTGTGTGTGTGTGTGTGTGTGTGTGTGAGTGATGAACAGTTGAAGAGGTTTTGTCAGGTGGAATCGAAGAAGAGTCTGCTCAGCACTTTCTCCTTCCTCACCCTCATCTATCTATCTATCTGTCTGTCTGTCTGTCTGTCTGTCTGTCTGTCTGTCTATCTGTCTGTCTATCTGTCTGTCTGTCTATCTGTCTGTCTGTCTATCTATCTATCTGTCTGTCTGTCTGTCTGTCTGTCTGTTGCTCTTTTCTCATCTTTTCTTTTTCCACTTTCCTTCATCCTCCTCTTCCTCTTCACTTCTCTGCTGTATCATATAACACACACACACACACACACACACACAGACATACAGGGGGGGCAGTCCCTATAAGAGTGTGTGTGTGGAGTCGTCAAACACACGCGCCACACAGAAGCGCACGCACACAGAAGCACACACACACACGCACACACACACACACACACACACACACACACACACACACACACACACACACACACAGCTTCATGCACAGTTTATTTTCATCAACCAATAAATAAACAGCGATGATGATGATGTCATCAGCATGCTGCCAGGTGGGCGGGGTCAGGGTGGAGTGGGGGGGGTTGATGCTGCACCTGTGGGTGCCTCGAGACCGAAAACACTGACAGAAAACAAGGAGAGGAGGGAGGAGACGAGGGAGGAGACGAGGGAGGAGACGAGGGAGGAGACGAGGGAGGAGTGGAAAGTAAACGAGAGGAGAGGTGATGAAACAAGATGACAAGGAAAGAAAGGATGAAAGAAGATTAGAGGAGGTGGGGAGGAGGAAAGGAAAGAAGAGAGGAGGAAGAGGAGGAGGAGAGATCATTGGTGGAGGGGAGGAGGAAGTAAAGGAGGAGGAGGAGGAGGAGGAGGAGGAGGAGAGTCCACCATACTGAATCAGACACGTCACAACACCAAACGACAAAATCCATCCAGGTGTCTAACCCATCAGGAGGAGGTAAAGAGGAGGAGGAGGAGGAGGAGGAGGAGGAGGAGGAGGAGGAGGTGACGGTTTCACAGACACGTACAGAGGAAATAAAGGCGTGTTGTCAGTCTTTACCTTGTCGGGAGATGAATGAGCTAGCTAGAGAGCCACGCAGCTTATATCCAGCTTTCCAACGCGACACGGAGGAAAGAAAGAAAAGAAACGAACAGAAGAAAGAAAAAGAAAAGCAGCGTGAATATACTGAGAGCGAGAGAGAGGGAGAGAGAGGAGAGAAAACCTCAACAATATAGTATTAATGTAGGAGTGTGTGGGTCCCAGCTCGTAGTGCGCGCCACACACACACACACACACACACACACACTCTCTTTAGTTAGCTTTAGCCTGTTAGCTGCTGTAGGCCAATGGAGAAGTCAGGACTCGGCCTACGCCTCCTCTGATTGGTCCTTTTTGTATATCCTGTATATTTACATGTTTAATGTAAAATAACGTGACAAATCTGTTTTTATTTACTGTTTATTTAATGGACTAAACTGTTCAATTCAAGTTTAATACTGTTAAAACATTTATAAAATTATGTAAAATGAATTTGTTTGTGTTAATAAATATACACAATAACCAACACACACACACACACACACACTCAAACACAGGATGTTTACACTGTGTACATACTTGTTACCTACATCCTCTCTCTCTCACACACACACACACACACAGACACACAGACACACACAGACACACACACACACACACACACACGACACACACACACACACGGACACACACACACACACACACACACACACACACACACACACTCCCCTCCCTGCTGTCACATGATGGAGGCTTCGCTCTGTTCCCGTTTCGGAGCGGCGGGTTAAAGTTGGGATGTGTATGAAGTGTGTGTGTATGGTGGAGGAGGAGGGGGGAGGAGCGGGGGGGGTGGAGGGTATAAAGCTCGGTGTTGGTGGTGAGGAGGGTGGGGGTTATTAGAGGAGGCGGGGGGGGGGTAGGTGTGTGGCAGTACCTGGCTCCACGTCGTGCCAGCTGCTGGCCTGGCTGCCACTGCCCGGAGATCGACCCTGACTGGGGTAGTAGGACTCTTCTCCTGGACTGTCCACGTCCTCCTCCATACACTTTATCCTCTTGGCAGAGCTGCACACACACACACACACACACACACACACACACACACACACACACACACACACACACACACACACACACAGAGGGAAACACTGACTTCATTAGAACTTACTAAATACTGAGAACAGCATCATCTTTTCAACAAAACCAGACACAAAGACAGTATTTATAACGGACAGAGCGCCAGGGGCTGTGAAGTGTCTTAAACCTGCGTTCTTTCTAATGACCAGCAGGGGGCGCTTCACTGGTTGCAATAACACACTGATACCATTCAGTCTTATGGAGATTGATTTATTCCCTCAGTAAACAGTTTCCTGATGAGTTTCTGGTCTCAGTCTCTAGTTTCAGTCTTCTTCCATACAGCATGATGTTCATTTAGTAACTGATGGTCCCATTTAGAGTAAAACAGACCATAAAGCAGGGTATGCTTTAGGGCGGGGCTACCTTGTGATTGACAGCTCATTCTCAGTGAGTCCGTCCAGCTCAACCAAACTCAGATCACACCGATGGAGGACGTCACAAGAAGCTTTAGTAAGTCACTATAGGTTTACAGATGCTACAAACCACATGCATTTTTAAAGCAGTTTTAGCAGCTATTAAGTAAAGAATTAAGAATAACCTAATCTAATCACAACAATATACGACATATGCAAATAATGAGTGAATGCAAACAAAAGGTGACTCAGGAAAACCAAATCATTTTAATACATTTCAGCAACTATAAAGCAGAAATAATGAGGACAAACTATGAATTGTGTTTGCCTAACTGCTAAAAATGTGGAATTTCAAGTTCAACTTCCTTCACGTTCGTCCTTTTTGCGTCCTGGTGCGAACGGATATACTCGCTCATGTGCGCTTCAAAAAGACCGATAATGTTTGTTGGATGCCGACGTCCAGAAAAGTTTAATTTCCACTGAAGAGTTCCTTCTGGACCAGGAACTAAACGTAGACCCTGACCCCCCCTTTGGTCAAACTGAAGGTTCCTCAAAGTTCTCAACACTTTCTTTTATTTAAATCTTATGAATGATAAATGTCCTGTATATCGTTGTGGGAATCTTTGACATTATTATCGTCTTGAAGTGTTATGCTAACTTCCTGTCAGACCGTCTGGAGTTTCGTTCATTGTTTAATCAGTTTTTATTACAGCTCTTCTTTATCCTCATATTGTGTATTGGCGGACTTCCCTTAATCAATATTCACTGAACTACAGAGGAGCATCTCTCTGGAACGTTTCCATCACGCTCAAGATCTACATTATCTTTACAAAACATCTCCAAAGGTCGTTAATTAGCAGAGATCCTATATCATATTGCATTGTGGGTCATTTCTATCAAGGGGGAAGTATATTTTAGTACAATATTAGTAACTGGAGATTAAATATTTATTATTAGTAGTAAGTACAGTACAGTAGTACTAACAGTAATTAGCAGGAATATATCAATATTAATATAACTGGTTAAAGTACAGTATAATAATAATAATAATAATAATAATAATATATTTATATATAGCGGGAAAAATACAGTAAAATACTGTTAAATTGTAGTGATACAGGATTGTTCTATATACTGTAAATTGTATTACAGTACAGTTAAATACAGTAAGTTGCTGTAAATATACGAGGAAATAGTTTACAGTGTACATTTCTGTTAATACTGTATTTTAGCTGCTTGAATGTTGCATCACACAACTCTTTCTTTCTCTTTTTAAAGTCTGATTATATTTAGGATATATTAACCTCGTTAATGTGGGACGTACAGGCGAGCCTCCCGTCTTCTGCACCCGTCGCGGAGTTTGAAGGTTGTTTAAACGCAGCGAACGGCTGGAAGTGTGTGAGCTGCATCGTTACTGTACGAGCGATGGAAACTGAATCTTAACGAGGATTAAACATGAATCACTGTTCATGTGTCACACTGAGACACTACAACACACACACACACACACACACACACACACACACACACACACTCTCATTCACCAGATGTGTTCGTTTAAAGGAGGTTAAGACAATTCAGTGCGTGTGTGTGTGTGTTTGTGTGTGTGTCTGTGTGTGTGTGTTTGTGTGTGTGTGTGTGTGTGTGTGACCTGCCTGTACAGTGAATGTATATGTATGAATGAAGACTCTTTAACATCAGTTAAGACTTAAAGACTTCCATATGGAGCTGCTCCTGCCTCGCAGCAATGTGTGTGTGTGTGTGTGTGTGTGTGTGTGTGTGTGTGTGTGTGTGTGTGTGTGTGTGTGTGTGTGTGTGTGAGTGTGTGAGTGTGTGAGTGTGTGTGTGGGAGGTCTCTGGAGAGGTGTGTGGAGTCAGAGAGGAGAGAAAAAAAAGGACACACACACAGAAACACACACTTATCTGAGTCAGTGGTTCACTAGTGTGTGTGTGTGTGTGTGTGTGTGTGTGTGTGTGTGTGTGTGTGTGCGCGCGCGTGCTGCAGGGCAGGTATCTCAGCAGACAGACAGACGACTCTTGCGACCGCATCGATTTAACAGAAGAGGTCAGGGCAAACCCTGCAAGCCTGTGTGTGTGTGTGTGTGTGTGTGTGTGTGTGTGTGTGTGTGTGTGTGTGTGTGTGTTGAGTGTGTGTGTGTGTTTTTTTTTTGTTGTTTGTGTGTGTTGTATGTGTGTGTGTGTGAGTGTATGTGTGGATCTGTGTGTGTGTGCTGAACATAAAGCACTCTCAGTGAGGACACACAGCTGTGAATATGTTGTATGTATGACTGATTGTGGACCTTTGGTGGACGTCTGTCTTCATCCTCTATGATCTTTGCGTGTATCTATCTATCTGTGTGTGTGTGTGTGTGTGTGTGTATGTGTTTAGGGCTGAAACGATTCCTTGAGTTAATCCAACTGTGAACCTATTGTGACGCCCCCCACTGGTTTGTGGAGAACTGTTTTGAAGCCTACAGTTTGTCGTTATGGTCGTCGCCATGGCAGTTTGTTGGAGCCAGCGGAGGTCAGGTAAAGCGAGTTGAGCTGCTCTCATTGGCTGCTCTTGGTTTGGAAACAATGGCGGCTCTCCTGCTCACACAGGATCTGGTATTCCAGATAAACAGTAAAATGTGTTTGTGAACAGATCTGAGAACAGAACAACAGAATCTGGATCCATATCTGATCAGCACTGAGCTGGACAGACTCACTGAGAATGAGCTGTCAATCACAAGGTAGCCCCGCCCTAAAGCATACCCTGCTTTATGGTCTGTTTTACTCTAAATGGGACCATCAGTTACTAAATGAACATCATGCTGTATGGAAGAAGACTGAAACTAGAGACTGAGACCAGAAACTCTTCAGGAAACTGTTTACTGAACTCATACTGTCGAATGCTTTGTTCTCTAACTTTACGTTGTTGAGGCACAACAAGTTGAGCACTTTTTGGGGGTAAAGTAATGTCCCCGTACCTTAATTTAGACCCTGGTCCCCCTAAAGGTTCTGAGTCCCTGGGAAACTAATTCAGGGTTCCCACTGTATAAGTGAATATTTTCCAGGACCTTTCCAGGACCTTTCCAGGAGTTTTATTGATAGATCAGCACAGCGGTCGAGCACATATAATTTACCGGTAGCCCTCCAGTTGAAATTAAAAACTTAAATGAAGCTCCTGACGTGTGGACTGGGACTGTGTACCTGGAGGAGGAGGTGCTAGGTAGCGGTCTCCTCATGGCTCCTGGACTCATGCTGTAGTAGGAGGAGCTGTCCAGGTCGGCCAGGGAGAAATTTGGACCGGTGCCGGCTGCGATTGGTGCTGAGAGAGAGAGAGAAAAAGAAAGACAGGAAGTGTTAATACACACTTTACAGTACACATGATCACTTTTATAAGGATCCCTCCTGTGGTTCTGGTCTCCTTCAAGGTCCGGGAGGCATCTGGATCAGATGTGAAACAACTGGATCGTACAATATGGTTGTCTCCTTCTGGCACATAGTATACACTCTGGGCTTTTTCTAGGAATTTAGGGCTTTTAGCAGCATTCTGTGAAGTTTATATTCTACAGCTGACCCTCGTACCTTTGGGTCGGATAAATAAACATAAATAAATAAACCAGAACTGGAACCACTTTATGTTGGGGAAGGTCCAGATTATCATCCAGGTACAACCAACCCTCGACCACACATAGTAAACTGTAAAATATCTATTATTGAGCAGTTTGGGCTTGTTACTCAAAAACGTTACTTTATTACTCACAACTTGTTACTCTTTTAAAAAGTAATGTCATTACTCTCTGCCAAGAGTTATTTGACTTTTCTGCTCCACCACACAGAATCGGTGACGTCACATGTTCGCCTCGGTGTAAATGTCGCCCTTTAAACGCCTCAAACTAATATTATTACTGAAATGTATAAGTAATTAGTTACACTATTAGTTACTGCAGAAAGTAATATTATTACTACTTCAGTTCTCACTGCCGGCATTTTGGACCCGTTTCAGAATTTGCTCGGACCTTTTCCATCTGCTGACAGTTGGTAACTGATCGGCTGACTTTGCTATGAGCTGATTGGCTGTAGAAACCATCCACATATAAAAAGATGTACCCGCAGACGGAGCCAGAGTCGGTTCAACTGAAATAAAACCCTAATGCGAGGAATACAACAGACTTTAGAGATTGGGGGACTGATCGGGAGCTTGTGAAGACTCATCCTCTTCCTCACTTTAAGATCACAGATATATGTGTGTTTATATGGGAGTCTAATGGCCGCATACATTATGTAACAGCTGTAACGGAGCAGTCAGTGCGGGACATTAGCATCTATGAACAAAAACTTTTCTTCCTTTCTCTCTTTTCTTTCCATCCCTCTCTGATCTGTCCATCTTCTGCCATTTACCCCCCTGCTCATCGCTCTCTCTCTCTCTCTTCCTCTGCCGATTCTGCACAAAGGCCTGCAAGGGCTTTCACTACTAAAGGAGAGAGAGAGAGAGAGAGAGAGAGAGAGAGAGAGAGTGAGAGTGAAAGTGAGAGAGAGAGTGAGAGTGAGAGAGTGAGAGAGAGACAGAGAGAGAGTCGGCTCTTTGTTGTCAAATGCTTCAATTTGAAAATCCTGCTGAACAAAGGCAGCAATCAGCTTCAAACCCGGACATCCGTCTAGCCCCAGCCTCCAGTCCCCCCCCACCACCTCTCCATCCCTCCTCTTCATCGCTTTATTGACAGAGAGCATGATGGCGTGATGGGATGAAAGAAGGAAGAGGAGGAGGAGGAGGAGGAGGAGGAGGAGGACTGACAGGACCTGGTGGGTAGTTTTCTGCTGAGCTCAGCACCGTGAGCTCGCTCTATCTATCTATCACTCTCTCTCGCTCTCTCTCTCTCTCTCTCTCTCTGCCCTGCAGAGATAGTACTGGTCTGAGAGAGCTGCACACACACACACACACACACACACACACACACACAGGTCCAGTATGTAGTAGTTTCCATGTGCAACCGATATCAAACTGTTGTGTTCTCTCCATTTATTGCACATCGATATGTTTTAATATTTTAACTAATGATCAGCTCCATTAAAGGTCAGCAGGATGATCTGTTAGCAGCTCCTGTTAGCTGTGTGCTCATGGACGTACAGACAACCATCCCTTCATTACTTTCACACATTCATTAATTCTCACATTCATTCATTCTCACACAATTATTCACGTTGGAGCAGAGATAGCGATGGACACAGGAATTCACACTGAATTTAGAAATATGTGTTTCATGTCTGCGTGATCAGATCTGACTGAGTGACTCTGAGGAACTGCAGCTGCAGGTACAGGTAGGATGTTTTTAGGGGGAACATTGTGCTTTAAACACAAGCATCTACACTTGAATCTGAACCTGAATCTGAACCTGAATCTGAACCTGAATCTGAACCTGAATCTGAACCCGACCCCATCCCTGTTCCTCTCAGCACCAATCGCAGCCGGCACCGGTCCAGATGTCTCCCTGGCCGACCTGGAGAGCTCCTCGTACTACAGCCAGCTCCAGGAGCCCCATTTCATTCTGTGGCTGTAATGGACACTGCAGCCTGTAGGGGGCGCTACCAGGACTTTAAACTGTTAGTCTTGTTTTATTTATAACTTTATTTATTAATTTTCTGCCAGTAAACAACAAACAAGTGTGTGTGTGTGTGTGTGTGTGTGTGTGTGTGTGTGAGCTGGAGGAAGAGTTGTGGCTGTTTGCCAGCTCTTCATCGTTACTGTCTGTGATGATTTCAGGTCATTTTCTGTATAATTCTGCTATTATCACCTCATTTAAATCTCTTATACATCCTGTTCATTCGCTGATGTTTACAAGCTTTTATTGATTTTGGACTCAGTTAATGATTCACTCTGATAACCTTTCTCATCCTGCTGTTGCTTACATTGTCATTTTGCTCTTGTTTACTTTTAATTTCTATTTTTCACTTTTCTCTCCACTTATTGTTGGAACAGCTGAGGTTCCTCTGAGGATCAATAAAGGATCAATAAAGGATCAAATGATCTTTTATTGCTTAACTGATTAAGTGTAAGAGCAGCTGTAACAGTCGTATTATTATTATTATCATCATTATTTTTATCATTATAATCCTGATTGTTGTTATTATTAAAATTGCCACACATCTTTGTTGCCATTTGTGCCGTGGTGCCCATATGGGGTTGGCACACCACCAGCTGTTTGTGTGTGTGTGTGTGTGTGTGTGTGTGTGTGTGTGTGTGTGTGTGTGTGTGTGTGTGTGTGTGTGTGTGTGTGTGTGTGTGTGTGTGTGTGTTGCCAGGGGCGACAGAGGGCAGGAGGAAGGAGGGATGGATGAGTTTGAACCATGCAGGCCTCCAGCTTTATTCATCTTTTCATCCCAGCATTGCTCTGTGTGTGTGAGTGTGTGTGTGTGTGTGTGTGTGTGTGTGTGTGTGTGTGTGTGTGTGTGTGTGTGTGTGTGTGTGTGTGAGTGTGTGTGAGTGTGAGTGTGTGTGAGTGTGAGTGTGTGTGTGTGTCGGGTGGGAATGCCTCCAGACGAAGGTACTAGAAGGTGCCAAGTGGGTCATCTGCCTTCTTATCTGTTTGTGTGTGTGTTCTTTGTAGAAGTGTGTGTGTGTGTGTGTGTGTGTGTGTGTGTGAGTGTGTGTGCAGTGGGAGTGTTATGCCATCATATCAACTTAATCCCCAAATCCCTACGTCTAATATCAGCTCTCCTGACACACTGGGAGAGGAAGTGTGTGTGTGTGTGTGTGTGTGTGTGTGTGTGTGTGTGTGTGTGTGTGTGTGTGCACGCGTGTGTGTGTGTGTGTGTGTAGATGAAATTTGTATCAGTGCCAAGGTGTGCCCCTGGCACACCAGTCACGCACCAGTGTGTGTGTGTGTGTGTGTGTGTGTGTGTGTGTGTGTGTGTGTGTGTGAAGCAGATTGAGCTTGTTACAAGTGTCTATGAAGATCAAAGTGTGTGAGTGCTGCAGCTCATTACAGTGTACAGTGTGTGTGTGTGTGTGTGTGTGTGTGTGTGTGTGTGTGTGTGTGTGTGTGTGTGTGTGTGTGTGTGTGTGTGTGTGTGTGTGTGTGTGTGTGTGTGTGTGTTTACTGTATTCTGACAGTGAAGCTGCTGCAGTGAACCAGGAAGTGTCCATCTACAGTGTCTCAGGAAGGAAACACTGGATTATACCTGATGCACGCTGTGTGGCTGTCACATGACTCCAATACGTTCACCACTGTGTCTATCTTCACTTGTCCTATCAAAATAAAAGCTTAGAAATCCCCCCAAATATCTGCTGTTTAATTATTCTAATATGAGGCAGTGTTTCTTGCATCCTTTAATTTTAGTTGAGTTCATTTTGTAACTACATATATACTGTGTCACTGTTCATGTTTGTCTAATTCTTATTTTTATTTCAGTAATAAAACACCTGCTTTTAGTTTTATCTTTAGTTAACAGTGATAACCAGACACGGGCACTGAACCCCCGGCTGTACGCGACCCACAGCGCCTACAGACAGTGTTTAGTGTTGGTCCCTCAGGCTGCTGGAGCCTCACACTATCTGCTCTGTGTACACGAGGCCGGTGAGTTGTATCAAAGCAGACCTACAGAGAGAGAGCTGAAGAGGAAGTTTGGGGGAATTCTGGGAAAAAGAGTGAAAGAGTTTAATGACAGACGGCAGAGAGAGAGAACGAGGGATGATTGAGGAGAAGTCAGAATCCAGTCTGCAGAAATACACTGAACTGACCAATTACATTTAATACACGGCTGCTACACTAACCTATACTCTCTCTATCCCTCCCTCCCTCTCTCTCTCTCTATCCCTCCCTGTCTCTCTCTCTCTCTCTCTCTCCATCTCTCTCTCTCTCTCTCTCTTTGTGTGCTGCTTTAATAGGATATTGATCGACAGAGAGAGATTCGATTGGCCTGCCAGTGAATTGTGTAATGGCTGCACAACGCCAAGGTCACCCGCTGTGTGTGTGTGTGTGTGTGTGTGTGTGTGTGTGTGTGGAGGGGGGGGGGTATTGAACAGAGCACACATACCACCCCCTCCACCTCCCCACCGACCACTTCTCATCTTCTGGTAAGCTATAGGCTTCAGTCACCCCTGCAGACCCCCGTGTGTGTGTGTGTGTGTGTGTGTGTGTCTGTGTGTGTGTGTGTGTGTGTGTGTGTGTGTGTGTGTGTGTGTGTGGTGTGTGTGTGTGTGTGTGTGTGTGTGTGTGTGTGGGTATGTGTCTGTGTGTGTGTGTGTGTGTGTGTGTGTGTGTGTGTGTGTGTGTGTGTGTGTGTGTGTGTGTGTGTGTGGGTATGTGTGTGTGTGTGTGTGTGTGT